AAATTATATTTTCAAAAGAATAAAAATGTTTGAGTAAGACAGCTGAGGTGCAGGTAAGCATTCTTAGGTCAGCTGAACCTCTCACCTTGCCCTAACTGTGAAATAGTGGACAAGAATATAGCGAGCCAAACAGAACACAGTAATAAAGAGTGACCTGAAGGTCCAGATGAGCCTCTGAGTCCAGCAAGACCCGGATACTCTGGTCTTCCTGGAGGGGTGCATGGCCATCACCCAGGGGTGCCCTGTGTTCACCTTACACCTCTCTGTCCTAGGCTTTTATAGTGACAATAGCCCCACCCATGGCAGCCCTCCAGTTAGCACTGGGAGAGTTTTAACTCAGACACACTCAGGGTGCACACTTCCATTGAAAGAGGAGAAACTGGATATGATAGTGCACACCTGTCATCTCAACATGGGGGTGGGGAGGGGACATGGGTCATGAGTTCCTCAGCTATACAGGCCTCAGAAACAAACAAAAATAATAAAAGATAGGAGCAACAGATTGGTAGAATTTTATTTTCCACTCTTACTTGACTTTTGTCTAGTTTTCTGAGCTTTCTGTTCCTATTTGAGCCACTCTGCTTCTAAAAAAGTTGAGAAAAGTCATATTATGTTAATATACTTAAATAGAGGTATGTTCATAAGTGTTCTTCCATTAGCATTTTAAAAAACTGCAGGCAAACAGAAGTAATTTTAGTGTACTTTCAGATAGCTGACCTCAACTTCATATGGATATGTCAGGAATGATTGTAAAATAAACCAGGGTGTTATCTAATAGAACTGAATACACATCTGGTGTCTCCCTGACAAGTGAAAAAATATTCAAAAACAAAAACAAAACAAAACAAATCACGAGCATAATGAACAAAAGTGTAAGTATTACAATGCCTGACCTCAAAATATACTGCAGAGTTACAGAAATTAAAACAGCATGGTACAGGCATTAAAATAGACACACCAACCTGTAGAACAAAGACCAAAAATAAATCTATGCATCTATGGTCAACTGACTTTACAAAGGTACCAATGACACATGGGGGAGATGAAGGGAGGTGTGGTTTCTTCAGTAAATGGTATTGGGAAAATTAGATATCCATACACAGAAAAATGATATTGGACCCTTATCTCACACTATATACAAAAAAAAAATCAATTCAAAATTACTAGAAGAAAACATAGAAGGAAAAATCACAGCACGTTGCTCAAAGCAACAAACTTCAAGATCTGATTCCCAAAACATAGGCTACAAAAGCAAAAGCAGACATGTGTGATTATATCAAATCAAAGTGGCCTGGGAGAGTAGACCAGGAGCAGCAGGCCATACGACCCTAGGGTCAGTCCCTAGAACTGGGACAAATAAGGAAAATAAGGTTCTTTAACAACCCCCAGAGCATGACATGGCTGAGACTTTAGGCAGACACAGTGAGCATGCCTACAATCCCAGTACTTAGGAGACTGAGGCTCCTAGAAGGATTATGAGTTTGAGGCCAGCCTGGGCTACAAAGCAAGTTCCTGGCCACCCTGTACTATATAGTAAGACTCTGCTTCAAGTCAAATAAAATAAAATAAAAAAATAAAATAAAATTTAAAAAAAAAGAAAAAATATATTTTGGGCTGGAGATTTAGCTCAGTGGTAGAGAACTTGCCTAGCATGCACAGGCCCAGGGTTTGATTCCCAGCATTACAAAATAAAATTTCAAGGCTAGAGAGATAGTTCAGCAGTTAACAGCATGTACTGTCCTTACAGTAACTCAAGTTCAGTTTCCAGAGCCTACATCAGGTAGCCTACAACCTCCTGTAACTCCAGCTCCAGGGGATCCAACACCATTTTCTGGCCTCTGTGGGTACCTGTTCTCGGGTGTGCATACTCACACACAGATACACACACACACATAATTAAATTTATTTTTTTTTTTAAATATCTTTTGGGGCTGGAGAGATGGCTCAGCGGTTAAGAACACTGGTTGTTCTTGCAGAAGACCCAGATTCGAATCCCAGCACCCACATGGCAGCTAACAATTGTCCATAACTCCAGTCCCAGGGGATCCGACAGCTTCTTCTGACTTCCACAGGGACAAGACAGGTGCACACACATACATGCAGGCAATACACTCATACACATAAAATAAAAGTAATAAGTGGGTGCCTGTTCTCGGGTGTGCATACTCCCACACAGATACACACACACACATAATTAAATTTATTTTTTTTTTAAAATATCTTTTGGGGCTGGAGAGATGGCTCAGCGGTTAAGAACACTGGTTGTTCTTGCAGAAGACCCAGATTCAAATCCCAGCACCCACATGCCCACATGGCAGCTAACTACTGTCCGCTGTCCGTAACCCAGGGGATCCAACAGCCTCTTCTGACCTCCGTGGGCATTGCACGACACAGGTGCACTTACCTACATGCAGGCAATACACGCATACACATAAAATAAATAAATAAAAATGTGTTTTAAAGTTTAAAAAAAATCTTTTAATAAACTCTTGACTCTTCTTTTTTGGTATTTTTTGCTTGTTTGGAGTTTGGGGAGGTTTTATGTTGTTGTTGGGGTGTAATTTTTGTTTGTTTTTGAGACACAGTCTCCCTATAGCCCCAGCTGGCCTGGAATTCACTAAGTAGACCAGGCTAGCCTTGATCTCACAGAGAGATCTGCCTGCCTCTGCCCACTTACAACCCCCAGCTATGGAATTAAAGGCATGTGCCACCACACCCTATAATAAATCTCTTTAAAAAAAAAGAAAATAGAAAAATAACCGGTGCACAATAAAATAAATAAATAAGGTGACATGACAACCTACAAATTGGGAGAAAATATTTGCAAGCCTCGTGGCTTTTCGTGAGGAATTGCAGTCTACAGTAAGGGACTCTATAGCTCTATAGGGAGAAAACAAATAGTACTGGCAAAATTCCTTTCATGTCATGAGAAACTGTGGCCCCAGTTTCTCAGTACCTGTTTCTCTAGAAAGCAAAAACTAAAAATTATCATTGATAAGGAAGAAGTAAATTTTAGCTCAGCCAGTGAAGCCAGTGATTTCTCACAATGGGATGCAAGATCCAGCCAGCCTAAAAGTTACTGGAGGGGCTGGAGAGGTGGCTCAGTGGTTAAGAGCACTGGCTGGTTTTGCGGAGGACCTGGGTTCAGTTCCCAAAAACCATCTGTAACTCCAGTTCCAGGCAATCTGATGCCCTCTTCTGACCTCCGCTGGCATTGTACAACATGGGTGCACTTACACACATGCAATACACTTATGCACATAAAATAAAAATAATAAATAACTTTTTTAAAGTTAATGAAAACCAGCAGCAGAAGATTACCTTCTCCCCAGATAACCTGCTGTGTCAAAATTCATCCTCAGCCACACAGAGTTTGAGGCTAGCCTGAGTGATATGAGGTATTTCCTCAAAAGAAAAACAAACGTGCATTTAAATCAGGCCTGGCCGTGTACACCTGGAACCCCAGTACAAGGACAGCTGAGGTAACAGGACCTCAAGTGCAAAGCCAGCTTGGGCCACACAGTGTGAACCTGTTTCCACTAGTTTTCTCTCATGATCATGAGGTGCCTGGGAACTGTGTCCTGCTGGCATAGCCAGTATCTTCGGAGACGACTGTACCACATACCACCAATCCAAGAAAAGATCAAAATTCAAAGCACAGTTTCTACTGGACGTCTCTCACCTTTGTGCCACAATGAAAATTCATTAAGTCAAACCACGTAACTTGGAAAACTGTACTGCACATTACGGCAGTGATAATTCAATACAGAATTTGCTTATAGTACTTTGGCAATTTTAAGGAAATAGAGAAAAAAATTAAACAATTCCCATGTTACTTTGTTGTAGAAATATAATAGAGGAGTTAAGAGATTTTTAAGCACAAAAGTAGATGAACCTTTAACATATATAATAGCAATCAAATGGAAATACAAATTCAAAGAGGAAAGAAAAACGTCAAGTGCCAACTTTTGTTTCTGTTTTGTGTTTTGAGACAAGGTTTCCTGTAGCCCAGGCTGGCCTCAAACTCACTATGTAGCTGGAGATGACCTTGAACTCCTGATCCTCCTGCCTCCCAAGTGCTGGAATCACGAGCATGCCACCACACTTGGCTGGCAACATTAACAAAGGACTTATGTCAATGTCAAAGTGAATCTTGGGCCAGTTTGGTCTACATAGTGAGTTCCAGGACAGCTGGGGCTACAGGAAGACCCTGTATGAAAAAGACCAGAAAAAAAAAAAAAAAAAGACAGGGTCTCACTTGGTTGGAACTCAGTATGTAGACCAGGCTATCTCCAACTCATAGAGATCTACCTGCCTCTGTCTGCTGAGTACTGGGATTAAAGGCATGCTATGCCACTCCCAGCCCTAAACTGATTCTTTTATCTCTTTCTAGTCTTTGCCCAAATCTCCCTAAGGCTTGCACTAACCCAATCTTCAGTCTATCTTCCCCTACACCCAACCCCACCTGGGCTATCCTCACCACCTCACCACCTCACAGGCTGGAAAATGTGCCCACCATGTTTACCACTTACCATCAGCCACTACCATTATTAGCATCTAAGATTCTCAGGGTAGGTTTACTAATATATCCTACCCTTAGGACCAAAAAGTTGTCTGCTACACAGTGGACTTCAGTTAATTCCAAAGATTAGACAAACACAAAGATAGCACGGGTGGCTGAGGAAGTTAAGGGGTCTGGGTGCTGAGGGACCCCACGCAGAGCTGTGATAGCACAACCGTCATCCCTGTTTCAGCAATCTACAAATCTTGACATGCCAAGGATCCCTGGGGTTTGATCATAGTCAAAACATTGAGGTTCACAATCAGAAAAGGCCTAGAGTAATAGCAATCACCATCTTGATGGGGAAAACGGCACCTTTTACCTACATTTAAAGGCCATGACCATATCTACTTGAAAAACGCAAATGCAGGTAAAGTCTAAAGAACTAAAGAACAAGCAGAATATGAAAATCCTATGGAAAATCCTATGTGACAAAACACAGTCACTCCAGTCTGAAGTTAATGATATTCTGTTCTTCCATAAAAATCTAGAGGGGCTGGAGTGATGGCTCAGCAGTTAAGAGCACTGGCTGCCCTTCCAGAGGACACAGGTTCAGTTCCCAGCACCCACATGACAGCTAACAACTATCCGTAAGTCCAGTTCCAGGGGATCCGGCGCCTTCTTCTCACTTCTGCAGGCATTGCATGACATGGGTGCACTTAGATACATGCAAGCAATACCCTCATACACATCAAAACAAACAAAAAAACAAACTATAGACCAAACAAGAAAATAGAAACTCTGTCTTGCGCTCTCTCTGTCTCTCTCTCTCTCCTTCATTCTCCTTAGAACAGTAAAGTCTATTGGGATGGCATGTCCAAACCTGTCCTCCACCTCTCAGTCACCCAGCTTGACCATCTCTGTACCTGAATCTGTTGGTGGCTGGGGTGGTCTCCATGTTAAACTCGGCCACTGGCACTCCCCTGGAAGCCACCTGAGGGGCAAACATGGCGGCTGGGTAGACCACAGAGGATGTTCCCACCTGCAAAGCAAGCACATGGAAGTGGACCATGACCTCACAAGGTAGAGATGAACCCTCTGGAAAACTTACATAAACTCAGGTAGGGCTGGGGCTGCAGCTGTGAGAAATGCTAAACTAGATGAGAGAGTGTGGGATGTAGAAAGTTAAGAAGCATCTATTTGAGCTGGGCATGGTGGGCCTTTAATCCCAGCACTCGGCAGAGGCAGGTGGATCTCTGTGAGTTTGAGGCAGCCTGGTCTCCATAGTGAATCCAGGCCAGCTGTAGCTATAGGGAAACCCTGTCTCAAAAAGACCGAAACAAAAAAGCATCTATTTGGACACTCACTAGTTTGAACACTCGCTCACTAGAACCGGGGAAGGACATTCACAGGTGGACAGAGAGGCAAGGAAATGGCCCAAATGGCATGGCTCACGTGTGTCTTATTTCTGATCTTTGAAGTCATGCAAATGATCCATGTTCTTTCTCCAAGTTAGGAAGTGATCCCTGTTAACATTTTGACATGCACCTTTCAAGTTTTTTTCTTCCAAACTGTACTTACACATACTCTTCCCAGATGGAAAGGATAGGCATACTTTGTAGGCCAGCTTTTCTCCTTAACAACCCAGGGTGACTAAATGGAGATGCACTCACCACAAAGTGCCTGTGCTTTTAAAGACATTACGGAATTGTAAAATATGCCTGCTCTTTCCAGTTAATTCCACTTTTAGGGAATGTGTCCTAAGAAAATAATTTGAAGAACATGCTAAGATCTAAGGATATTCATGCAACTTTGCTTAAAATATCAAAACGTGAAACACCTGAGCCAGGCCTGGTGATGAATGTCTGTAATCCCAGCATACAGGCTCACGGCCAGCTTTGGCTGCATGGTGACTTTGAGGCCAGTCTCAAAAAAGAAAGAACTGGGGGGCTGGAGAGATGGCTCAGTGGTTAAGAGCACTGGTTACTCTTGCAGAGGAACTGGGTTCGATTCCCAGCACCCACATGGTGACTAACAACTGTCTTTAACTCCAGTTCCAGGGACCTAACGCCCTCTTCTGGACTCTGCAGGCATTGCATGGCACAGGTGCACTTATATACATGCAGATATAGCACTCATACATATAAAATAAAAACAAAACAAACAACAACAAAAAACCCACAAAGAACTGGGTGTCGTGGTGCATGCCTTTAGTCCCAGAACTCAGGAGGCAGAGGCAAGTGGATCTCTGTGAGTTCAAGGACAGTCTGGTCTACAATAGTGAATTCCAGGCCAGCTGGGGCTACAGGAAGACCCTGTCTCAAAAAGACCACAAAAAAATAGAGAATTCTAAATTCATCATTTTCTATCTGTATAATAGAATATCATACAATCAATTAAAAGATGATGCAGTTTGAAATATATTGACATGGAATATGCTAACTGAATTATTATATGTATAAAATCATCTCAAGAAGACTATATATTATGTGTATTTGATATGTGTACATCTATATAAGGAAAGGTCTAGACTAGAAGGAGCCAGATTTTTTTCTGCAAAGAGCCATATGGTAGACACTTTAGGCTCTTCTGGCCATTCAGTCTCTGTCACAAGGACTCTACTACAATAGTGTAAAAAAAAGCCACAGTGTTACAGAATGGCTGCAACTATGTTCCAATAAAACTTTTCACAAAAGAGTACAAACTAGGTTTGACCCAAAGGCTGCAGTTGGTTCACCTCTGGTCAAAAAGAAAACACCAGAATGCTAACAGTGATTATTTCTGGATGGTATAATGTAGGTGATTTCTAATGACCAATGATATTTAATAATGAGCATGCGTTATATTTAAAATCTGAGCCAAGGCCAGCGAGATCCTCAGCAGGCAAAGACACTTGCTACACAGGCCTAGTGACCTGTGTTTGATCCCTGGAACCCACATAAAACTGGAAAAGAGAGAATCAACTCCACAAAATTGTCCCCTGACTTATACTAGTTATTTTTATATTTTACGTATTATTGCATAATACATTAAAAATAGAAATAATTAAAATCTGCATCAATTACATGCTCCTTTTGTTACTGGGTGGCAAGGAAAGGAAAAGATGTTTTGAAATGCTCAGGACATGGTTTTACATAGTTCCATTACAAGATCGGTTCTTGGATTAATAGTCTTTCAAGCCCCTGTTCCTCTATGCTCCCTGAGCCTTACATGTAGAGGTTGCATTGTAAGTGTGCCACTCAGGGCTAGGCTTTCCACAGTTCTGGAACGCTGTGTACTAGTCTCCATCTGCTGCAAAAAGAAGCTTTTTCTGATGAGTGGTGAGAGGTATACTTGTCTGCAAATAATAATACATATTTAGAATATAGTAAGAAATTATGTTGGTCTAGGGCTGTGACAAAAGTAGGGCATGAAAACGAGGGACAGGCACGACATACCACTAGACACAAGTCACAGAGGGTGAGCTCTCTGTCCACCTCCTCCAGAACAGCTGGATCCAGGTTTTCTCCAAACCATACCACATGAGGTCGCAGCAAGCCTCCACATCCTGCCTCCTCACACCTGAAAAAAAGCCATTTCTAAATCATCCCTTGGTGCTGGGCCAGAAGGACAGCCCAGGATCCCAGGAAGGCTGGACTGCCACCCAGGCCAGCAGATGGGAACTTGCCCTAGATGTGGGGCATTCAGTCAACTTACCCTAGTAACTTTTTATCTTGTCTTGGTTCATTGAGTTGTGTTAACATGGTTTAGCTGACCTTGACTTTCTCTCTCTAAAAGCTGTTTTTACTCCCTCCTAGTTACTGCACTCCTTGGCACAACTGCACACTCCTGCCGCCCAGACCTGGCCATGAAACCAGCCTCACTCAGAGCTGCCTCCAACCCCTGAACCACCCTAATCTCACGAATGACCTTTGGCTTTCTCTCAGATTCACTTATTTCTTGAGACTGGCCTACAGCCAAGTTCTCCTGTGCTTGTAATCAATCTCTCTCTGTCCCTCCCTCCCTCCCTCGTTATCTCGTTCCCTTCCTTTCCATCTCCCTCTCTCCATCTCCCTGCCCTACCACTGCCCTCAGTGGAACCCAGGGCCTTGCATATACAAAGCAAGTCTTGCTGCTACCTCTAGACCAAGATTTATATTTATATTCTAAAATATTCTGCCCCATACTCCATGTTCACCCTATTAATCTCCTACTCAGAAAATTCCTAGCATTCCCTATTCTTTCAGAGGGAAACATTAGAATTTAGTGATGAAAAGCTTTATAAGAGAAATGAAAGGGTCTGTGGTTAAAATCAACAGAAGTGTTAACATATTATAACTTTTTTAGAAAGCAGCAATATACTTTGACACATAAAGTGCTTGAGAAGCCCTGTTGGGGGCAAATGTATTTTAACCTTATTTAATCGAATACTTCTGAATTAATCTGCATTCATGACATTTTTCCCCCCAGCAGTGCCTACCAACATTGCGTGGTCTATATACTACTATACTGCGCTATGAAAATACTTTGGTTTTTGTTTTGGGGTGTGTGTGTGTCTGTGTGTGTGTGTGTGTGTGCGCGTGCGTGCACTATATGCACATGTGTCTGCATGTGTGCTTTCCTAGGTATGTGCATGTATGTGTGTGTTATATGCACATGTTTGCATACATCTGCATGCATGATTTCCTCTGCAAGTGTGTGTGTGGAGGTCAGAGGCCAACTTCGGATGTCTTCCTCAATTGCTCTCCATCTTACTTGTTAAGACAGGGTCTCTCACTGAACCTGGAACTTGCTGTTTCAGCTAGACTGGCTGGCCAGCAAGCCCAGGGGTCTGCCGGTCTCTGCTCCCCAGCACTGGTTGGACAGGCACGAGTGGTCATGCCTAGCTTTTCATGGGTGATGGGACTCAGAACTTAGGTCGTCATCCTTGCCTAGCAAGCACTTTACCCACCGGAGTCATCTCCCCAACCCCAGGAAACACATTTTGAAAGCACTGTTTCCATATCTGATTTTGAAAAACTAACATAAAGATTATTTCTAATTGTTTTATAATATGCACTTCTTTTTAGTTTTGTAATTTCACCTTTGCAAGACCTTTACCATCACCTTAACCTTGGATTAGGAATTGTGCTGAGGGAGAAGGCAAAAGAAGTCCTGTTTACTAATTACAGGATGCCAGTCTGTTTTTCCCAGACGCAGATAACCACCTGCCATATAACTACTTTGGAAACTTCTCAGATCTTAAAGTATCAGCACAAAGAAAAAGGCACCAAAGTAGGATGCTATATTTGTTGCTAATCAGGGGGCTGAGTCAGGAAGATTACCTGAGCCTAGGAGTTTGAGGCCAGCCTGGGCAATATAATGAAACCATCTCTTTAAAATAGAAGGAACAGTGCCTACATGGCAGTTAACAACCATCCGTAACTCCAGTTCCAGGGGATTTGACACCCTCTTCTGACCTTCATGGGTACTGCATGATGTGGGTACACTTACATACATGCAGGCAGTACACTCATACACATAAAAAATAAAAAGAATAAAAATAAATAATAAATAAAAATATTTTTAAAGATGGGAAATGGGGCTGAAGAAATGGTACAGCAGTTAAGAGCACCGACTGCTCTTGCAGAGGACCCGAGTTCAGTTCCCACCACCAACATGGCAGCTAACCACTGTCCATAACTCCAGTTCCAGGGGATCTGACACCCTCTTCTGGCCTCCACAGGCTTTATACTACATGGGTGCACTTACATACATGCAGGCAAACCACTCATACATAAAAAAATAAATAAAATAAAATAAAATATAAAATAATAAAAATAAAACAAATAATAAAATAAAATATATAAAATAAAATAATAAAACA